CTAATAAATAGGTGAAAGCTATGCAAATATGCAAACTCATTGGTGATTTGCCGTCGGCATTTGGGTCGCAAAAATCGTTTTTTTTTTTTTAACGATTCTTATTGTAGTTGCTACACTATTTTCAATGCAACAAATCCCAGTTTTCTAACTGCCTTAGTTTTTTCACAAACTCACTTTAAAGATGGACGCATTAACAAAAAAATTTACAAAGCAATGTGTTTGTTAACTTCAAAGTTGTTTTTGACTTTTACTGCAAGACTCGTAGATATTATTTGTAAATAGGTAATAGTTCTGGGGTAAAATGCAAATCCATTTCCCAGGCATGCGCATATGGATACTTGTAGTACATACAGATGCGATCAACTAATTAGCAACGAAATTCAAAATGATATTGTTTGCAAATTATGTTTATTTATTTATTTTTAATAATTTCCTTTAAAACATAATTCAATCTATAACAGAAACCACAATAATAAAAGTTTAAAAGCTTGCACAATTTGCAAAATAATTAATCAAACTTCAAAAAATTGTTATAAAAATTTAAAAATTTTTAGTTAGAATATTTAGAAAATTTTCGGGTATGCAGTACTGTAGTCCATTCAATTATAGTATATGAAAGTCCAAGCTTCTAGTCGTTAAAAATTACCGTTCATTTTTTAGAATTTTTTTGTGGAGGGTTGTTCGCATTTTCTTCCATATAACACATGAACAAATTTTTTTTTTTGTATGGGAAAAAACAGCAGTACCCCAACAAAAAAAAACCTAAAAAATCAACGGTAATTTTTAACAACTTGAAACTTGCACTTTCTTATACTATAATTGAATGGACTAAAATACTGCATACCCGAATTTTTTTTAAATATTCTAATTAAAAATTTTTGTGACCATTTCTTGAAGTTCAGTTCGTTTTTTTGCAATTTGTGCAAACTTTTAAACTTTTATTATTGTGGTTTTTGTTACAGATTGAATTATATTTTAAATGAAAATCATTAAAAATAAATAAACATAATTTGCAACAATATCATATTGAATTTCGTTGCTAATTAGTTGATCGCATCTGAATGTATGCATGTACATATGTACTTACATACATGTGTACATATGTACCCCATACACATACTCCAAAATCATTTATTGATAACGTTCTTGCACCTGCACATAATATTACATATATGTAAGTACATACTAACTTTCTTCTTATTTGGGGCTGACAAACTTTAACTTAAGAGTCGACTTTATTTCGTCTACTAATATGCCCCAATAGTTTTGGAGTCAAATGAAAATGCATTTCCCACGCATACATATATGTATCTATATGTACTACATGCTCCATTAATTGACAACGTTTTTGCATGCATATATAAGTACATCCATACATACGTGCATATTGCTGTCTAAGTACTACGCACATATATGCAAATGTACATATATGTAAATATATGTACAACTCACGGCAGCATACATACACACATGCATAATTACGCGCATATTCAAATACAACAATAACTATTTCATTTCTAAACGCATGCGCATATTTCTCAAGGCCAAGTAAATTCATTCATAAAAACAACCGCAGCACATCTCCCCGCAAATTCATCACCAACAAGCGCAACTTTGTCAATCCGACACAAAAATTCTAAAATCTTAAAATGAAGAAATCTCGGCCAGCCAAGTGAAAAGTGGCAATTATTTCTCTATAACCAGTAAAATAAGTTATCTCGAATCTTGGCAATTTTTGGTAATTTTTGACAAAACACTCTATTTCTCTGTTCCATACCAATATTTCAATCATTAACTAGTATTTTAAAGTGTCATTTTAATAAACATTAAATAAAAGTGTACGTTTTCTGCAGGAAAATACATTAACTTTTTTTAATAAAATCAAAACTTCTAAAAATCACAAACATATGTGGTTTTATCGGAAGTTCACAGATGTAACGTGGCAACTTAGCTCGTTTTCACATTTTTCGGTCCGAAATTGTAAAATTTTTGTCCATGACGCGCCACGATTTTTGTACAGGTGGGTCAATGTGCCTTGAACACCATTTACATATATACAAAAAAATTATTTTATTTATTTTTTAATATTAAAAATTTCTATACTTCAAAGCGTTTATAAAAATATATTTACATATATGCACGGCCGATTTTTAATATTTTTCAACCGTAAGCAAATCTTCAGTACCATAAAAGATTCAAACACATCAAAGTACAAGCAATGCAATGTCCAAGCTAGTGCTACTCCACTGTACATGTGTATATGAATGTATGCATGTATGCGTGTAAAAAATGTCAATTCCAGTTGGTTTTTAACCCATTTGGCGGACATAGTTTTTTTGGTTTCAGCTGGTTCCAACTGTTAATGAAGCACAATTTTTATGGTTAATCTTGATGAAAGTTACATGTATCGTCGAGAACATGGTTACATGCAGAATTTTAAATTAATTAATATTCTTCTCCATATAAAATGTACGAGTATGGCTTTATTAAATGTAAACTTATGCGAAAACCTAAATATTTCGTCAACCAAGGGTTAATTTTGGTGGCGTCGTGGCAATTCGCAGAAATTTAATAATTTGTCTTTGGTTGGTGGACGGCGAGGGGAAGACGAAAGCAGAACAATCGTACATATTTATGCACATATTTACATTTATAAATGCACACATATATATGCGTTTGTCTTCTTGGACGAATGAAAATTTCATATATGTAGTGATTTAGAGATTGCCGTTTCAGTAATGTGCCGTGGCGTGTACGCTAGAGGCGGTGCAACTTTTTGGCGTCTCGCCGTTTGTCTTGGTTCAAATCCCGGACGGACCAAGTAATAATTTTTATTTTTTTTTTTTTAATTGTCATATCCATATTCGATTTTAAATTTTACTATTAGCTTTATTTAAAATAATATAAATGGATATGTAGGTACAAACGCATGCATAATTTCACATAATCGCTCAAATTTGCCAAAAGTTACTGAATGCTTTATTGTAAATGTTTTCACTAAAATATTAGTTATTGGAATTAAAATTTTATGCGAATCCAATTTTTATTCCCATTTTTAGAAAGGCCAAGTATGTATGTATATGTTCGTGCCACAAAAATTATTTCATAAATAGTTAATTTTAAACACAAATATGTATGTACACTGGCAAAGTGAGTGCATCCTGTTTTTTGTTTAATATTTGCAATGTTTTTAAGTTAAACTTTTATGTTATTTTCGACGGGAATTGCGGTTTTATGCATATAGCAAGTGCAATTTGTAAAAAATTGCGCTAATTTTTTTTTATTTGTTTGCAAACGGTCATGCGCATTTTATTCTATAAGAAATTCCCTTTTATTTGGTTAAAAGTGCAAAAAGCCGTCAGCAATAAAAAATCAACCCGATTTTTTAGCCGCTTAAAACTTGATCTTGTTCCACCAGAATTAAAAAACCGATCAATCTGCGTACTCAAAATTTTTCTAAAAATTCGGATTAAACAGGTCAAAATTTAGACGAGAATTCGTTGAATTTTTCTATGTTCTGTGTAAAGTTTGAAAGTTTGACTTATGTAGTTTTAATTAAAGCATGAACCACATTTTTATAAAAAGATAATACAAAAATTTAATTGAAAAACATTGCAAATATTAAGCAAAAAACACCATGCACTCACTTTTGATTGCCAGTATATGTTTGCATGTACATATGTATGTGTGTAAACTTTATGCCAAACTATCATTATTTTAAATTGTATTTGCATCTTCATAAAAGGAGAACAAGATAAAAAATTTAACAAAAATTACAAATTAATGAAAATTATGTGAAGATTTACCATATTTCGTTTATTTGCTCACAAAGAACATCACATTTCATGTTGCTCAACATTGTATTATGTTATCAACATTAAATTCAACAGAATTTTTACATTCCGACTTGAACTTTTCTAACGCTGTTAATTTTTCGTCCGCGAATAGTTTCCACTTTCAGTTTGCACCTTCTCTATCTATCTAAGTTCTCTGGTCAAATTTATTAAAAAGTTTTTTCTTTGCGTTGACGTCTGGCAGCCATTCCACTGAAGTGTAACTCACGCTTGAGCATATGACACAGTGATGGAAAAGTAGGCACAATAGTGCCATTTTTGGCACTTTTGGCACAGTTCATCCTGTTTTGGCACAATTATAAAATATAGAAATTTAGCATAAAATGCCAATATATAACAACAAATCACATACCACATTATATAGATATAAAAAATTACAACAAGTGAGAATTAAAAGCACAAAAATTAATATAAGGGCCGTAAGAAATATTTACAAACCGTTGAATTCTATTGTGAATACGCAGTACTAAAAGTAAGTTGTCGTAACATCAAGCTTTTAATTGAAGGGATTAGAATCAAAAGGATCAAAGGAGATCTGAAATTTTTTTGAGATAATTAAGGTTAAAGTTGATTACATATTGTAAATTCTGGGTAAATGCATTTGAAATGATTCTTGCCTAAATTAATGTAGGTTAATTAAATAATTCAAAGAATGTTTACTCTTTATCACCAAGTAAACACTATAGTTAACTATACAAATATGGGTAGAACTTATATTTTCAAAAAATGTCAATTAGACCCTTATGATTCTACCACTTCATTTCAGAATTTTTAGAAAGATTCTAAGTTTGCAGTTATTTCGCATATAGGTACATACACATGTGTTGAAAAATGTCAGAATAGCTATATTTCGGTGTATCTATTTCCCCTCCGTATTTGGAATTCTGTGTAATTTTACTATGAATTTATGTATGTATATGTTTAAGGAATCCTTCATAAAAGCGATTTACTGTAATAATTTAGGTAATTAATAATTAATATATTACTTTAGTATATTTTAAAAATACTATTTCTAAAAATATATTGCTCCTAAAACGCTTTAAAAGAAAATTAATTTTGTGGCACTTTCATTTTCTTTTCGGCACCTTTTTTGAATACCATTAGGCACATTTTGAAATTTTGAAATTCCATCCCTGATTTGATAGCATCTGCGCATTTGTTGTTTCAATTCAACGGTCAACTGTGTCAAAAATTTTTTGAAAGCATTTTCTGCGCGTTGTTTTTCTGTAACATTTTTATTTGAGATTTTTATTGAAGGATATTAGAATAAACGCTGGGTGCATTGAATTTAAAACTCTAGAAGCGCTAATCTTTAAACGAAGTATTAAGTATATAGAAGAGGCGCAAATATGTCGGGGGCCGCGTTATCCACTTTAGCGACCTTTGACGATATTCGTCGATGCATACAAGTACTTACTGATGGCACCGCAGAGGAAGGTAACTGATTGAATTTAGTCAAAATAATTCATAGCAAATAATTTATAATTTATTAGAATTCCTACGTGTGCTCCGCTTGCAGGAGCAATTTCGTCAAGAATGTTTGGACACTGCCAAAGAGGCACAACGGATACAGAAAGAGCTAGATGCTTCACTGGAATCAATGGCAGACTTAGAAACGAAGCTGTACCATGCACGCCGCTTGCTGGAAGTAGAAAGTAAATTGCGTCGTGAAGCAGAACATGAACGCGACCAGATGGAAAAGAAAATAATAGCAGTAGCTGATTTGGTGCAAAAGGACAACAATATAAATAATGAGACACGCGACAAGTTGGCCTTTCTGAACACGTTGCCACGCAAGCGAAAATCAATGAACCGTTTGGTAGAGGAAAAATATGGCAATGATATCAATTCTACTGGTTCATTTTTATCCGACTTATCAATAACGCAGTCTGAAGATGACTTCCTTGATGTGCGCCCCTCCACTGGTTGGCAAAAGCATCATCCATCTGTGCCTAAAAATCCAATTCCGTGTGTTGGTGCCAAAAGATCGCGTGCAAGCGGTGCTGGCTTGCCGTCAACACCAGGCGCCACTTCAAGGCGGTCTACAACACGTCGTAGTGGTACTGGTATACAACAACATTTATTGGATGTACCACCTGGTGCTGACCGCATCTGCGCCACCACAAAAGTGACAATCCCACAAGATGGAAATGGTGTTATACGCGCTGAGTCAACTATTGAATCTATGCCAGTTATTCCGATTACAAGCACAGTGGCTTTAGACAAGGAGGCTAGTCCAGAGGAAGCAAATTGCATCACTCCTACCGCTTCGCCCTATAAGGATGCCACTGCTCCACCTATCACACCCATGACTGCTATAAAATGTGCGCCCGGTGTAAATCTATGTTCGCCGCAAGTCTCGTCTATGCGCGCGCAGTTGATGCGTCATCACAATTTCGCATCACGTACTTTCATACGCACCGACACTTGTACGCATTGCCAGAAGAAGTAAGATTATATTTTTAAATGCGAGACATTTTCTAATTCACTTTCCTTTACAGAATTCGTTTTGGCACAGTAGGAGTGCGTTGTCGTGACTGCCCAGTACGTTGTCATGCTGATTGTCGAATCGCGCTGACAGTGAGCTGCGTGCCGCAGTCAGGGACCCCAACCATCAAAGGCATGATGGGCTACATTAGCGATTACGCACCAGGTGTGGCACCGATGGTACCAGCACTCATTGTGCATTGCGTCAACGAAATCGAGTCACGCGGTCTCAATGAGGTTGGTATATATCGTGTGTCCGGGTCGGAGCGTGAAGTAAAAGCGCTGAAAGAGCGTTTCTTGCGCGGCAAGAACACACCACATCTGGGGAACATCGATGTACATGTGCTGTGCGGATGTGTTAAAGACTTTTTGCGATCACTAAGGGAACCCCTTATACCTACAAACTTATGGAAAGATTTCTGTAATGCCGTACAACAGCCCACTGAAGCTGATATACAAAAAGACCTTTTCAAAGCGATTGATGCCTTGCCGCAGGCAAATCGCGATACCTTGGCATTCTTGGTTTTGCATTTTCTACGGGTTGCAGAGTGTCGTGAAGTTCTAATGCCAATTGATAATATTGCGCGCGTATTTGGACCAACCATAGTTGGCTATTCGTCAGCCGACCCCGATCGACATGCCATCTTCACAGAGGTATACATGCAGTTCACCACAATGCAGAACTTGTTAAAGATTCCTGGCGATTATTGGGCACAATTTGTTACATTGGATGCAGACAAGGAAAACAATCAAACAATTGGTTCAACTAATACCATAACTCGCACACCGAGTCACAATAAAGAGTCTTTGTATTCGTTATATGGTGAGTTCAGAAAGCTATGCCCGTAAGACGATTCTTCAATTGCACTTATATTTTCTTTTTCAATTTACAGCTACACCACTTAAAAGCACACTCAAAAAGCGAAAATTCCATGCTACACCGCCTTATCAATATAAAAAATGAAAATTTTCTGCTAGATACATATTTATAAATAACCGTCAAAGCATCCGTCTCAAGTAATGCAGCTAAACAACTGGCGCATTATTTTTATACTTAAATTATATATTGCAAAGCTGCATTTATAAAATATTATTTTGATTAGTTTGTCATCGACACTTTAATTTATTTGGTGGCACACATTTATAATTAGTTTAATTAACATGTGGTTAGCATATTTTGTGTACCTCATTTGTTCTTAAACTAAACGCAAACTCGCTTGGAATTTAATACTTTTTTGTTACAATTTTGCATCACTCAGGATTTTTTATATGCGTACATACATGAATTTATATACACTTCGCTCGAGCTTACAGTAAAAATTGCTATTAGCCTATGCTTACAAATGTCTAGGGGACAATTAATTATAAAATCAAATGAAATAATTTTCTTTTCTTTTTATGATCTTTTGAAAATCTTTTATAAAAACGCCAAGAAATTGGATTTATTTTTAATAAAAAAAAAATATATTTGCAATAAAAATTTAAGTAAAGAAGACATCTGAACTACATTTTTTAAAACTATTTTGTTTGCCTGAACAAATAGGGAACCGTTGTTATTTGGTTGTTCTTTATGTACCATCATGAAGTATTTCCCGAAAAAGTTTTGGAAATACGTTTGCTTTGATCTGCATATCGCTTAGTTGAGTGCTTAAGCTTTAACTGAGATATGTAAAATAATGGATTCTTTTATTTCTAAACAATAATCGACTGAAATGTCCAATATGCACAACCACGGTTAATTGCCGAATTATAACTTAGTCATTCCGGCTACGTATATCCAACTGTAATGAAAGGAATTATCTATGTACGTTGTTGTTGTTGTAGCGGCTACAACAACTCGGTCCAGATCTATTAGTCCCTCAATCGTTGTCGCCAAGCTCTACTAGCGGTAGTCTGTTCATAAGGACAGAGGCGTTGGCAGGGTGGGGTTCAGTGGGCATGCGAAGAGGTGCTGCGAGTCATGGGGCGTTTTTCCGCATGTCAGGAATTCGTTGGGCTCATCTGCATTTATTCTGCGCGTTCAACCTGTTGCAATAGCCAGAGCGAAGTTGGGCTATTCGTTCCCACGACAGTCGGGTGTACGTAACCGGATCGAACCAGATTTATATCTGGCCAAGGACTGTCACTCCAGCAACACTCCCCAAAAACTTTGGGGAATTTCCATGCTGTTACAACAACAACAAGTTGGGCTATTGTTGTCCGAGTCTCCCGAGGCAGACGAAGCTCTGTCTCGTCAACGTCTGGGTCTTGTGTACCCAGAACGGCATTCACAGGTTGAGAGTCTATATAACTCGAGACTGACCCTCTGTGAATTCCGTTCAAGGCCTGTCGGTAAGCTGATGGGTTCAGAAGTTGTTTTATGAATCTCTGGACTTCGTCCGTCAATTAATATACAGTATCGGTCATATCTATAGCACGCCATTTCAAAGTGATATTGTGTGCCACTTATGTTTATTTATTTATTTCTAAGAATTTTCAATTAAAATGCAGCTCATTCTCAGACAAACCCCATATAAACCCAAGTGTTAGAATTTGTATAAAACTACAAAAAAGTGCAACAAATTTTCACCTAAATTTCAAACTTTTTTCCTCGGAAGTGTAAGAATTTGAGTACACAGTTTTTTAGCCCCTGCAATTTTAGTCTAATAATGCGCAAATTTCAAGTGGCTACGAATTACCGTTAATTTTTTAGAATTTTTTTTCGCATTGGCTTCCATATAATGAATAAACTCAATTTATTTGTATATGGAAGAAATCCGCAACACCTTTGGCGAAAAAAAATCCAAAAAATCAACGGTAACTTTTATCCACTTGAACCTGATTTAGACTTAAGAGCTGTCGGTGGAAAGGTATTTTCTCACCCTTTTTATTTCTTTGCTAATAAACTCATTCAAAGGATGAAAGAGAAAGGTAGGATGAACGAACGTCAATCAAAGATGTGTTGGTATTTGAAAAAAAAAAATTGGGACACGAATGATTTTTTTTTGTTTTTACAGAAATAAAAACAGTGTGAAAATACCTTTCTACTGAGATCCCATAAGTCTAAATCAGAATAGTTTTAGCCCAGTTATTCAAGTTTTTCGTAAATCAAACTTTGAAAAAAGTAAAAAAACAGCATCAAAAATCTCATTCTTACGATTCCGTTGAAAAGATTTTTAAATATTTTTATGCAGATTTTTTTTCACAAATATTTTGTTGAACTTCTTAAAATATAATAAATTTTGTAATCCCGGCGGAAAAACCGCAACTTTTTTTTGGTGATGCAGTCTACTGTGCATGGTTGTAAAAGTCATCATCAGGGAACGGATTTTATGGAAATTGCCTTTTTTTCTGCTAAAGAGATAGAGTATATTCGATTAAGAATGTCCACGATTTAGCTTTCTCTGATTCCATATATACACATTTGATGTTGCCTTTTTTGCCTTTTTTAAGATATTTGCCTTTTTTTTGCCTTTTTTAAGATATTTGCCTTTTCTACCTTTAAAAAAGTGATTATAGCATTTACATTTTTTTTTTTAAGATTAAAAAATATACACATGCCCATGCGGCTTATAGAAGCGCAGGGACCTCTTGCCAAACTGGTTTTGGAAAAACTCAAAGCCGTTTTCTCAGCTAACGTAGGCTTAGAGACAATAAGGGGTGTGGATAAAATTGTAAAGGGCGAGGAAAACGCTCTTATTCCTGATAATATGAACGTTTCAAACGTTCCATATTTAAATTGGGCTCCACTTGTATCACCTTACGTCGAGCACACATTTAGTACTTTCAAGGCTTTTCTTCGCGAAAATCGAATGAAAATGCTGCCAGAAAACTTCCAAATGCATCTTGTGGTTCAATGTTACTACAACTATACAGATTAAAGTTTTATGAGTTAGAAACTCGAATGGATAAAATAGTCAAAGATTCAAAGTACACATTTTTCATATAATGAAACTAGTTCATAGTTTTTCTCTTTTTACTTGTAATATAAACATTTCTAAAAAAAATATATTTTTTGATTGTTCTTCGTATTTTCTGTCTTTTTTTAGTGCCTTATTTTGCTTTTTTTGCAATACCTTTTTTTTGCCTTTTCCTGCCTTTTTCGCTATTTTATTTTGCCTTTTCCAGCCTATTTCGTTACTTTATTTTACCTTTTTTATAGGTTTTTAGGTCCTAAAAATCCGTTCCCTGGTCATCATAAATGAATTTTCTCGATTTCTGTGTTTTCGCGAGCGGTAATACGGGCAACACGAAAAATTGGCTCAAATAATGGCAAATATCCTCAAATATCCCAAAAGGGATATTGCGCGACGTTTTCAAAGTTGAAGTCCAGGCGTTTTTGTTTACATTAGTTGCGTTCGACAAGTCAAAAATTTGTAATAGTTTTTCCAAATTTTTACTGGATGGCGTTCGATAACGACAAAAAATTATCCAACACACAAAAATTGAGAGAGCAAGCGTTCATTTTGTTGCAAGAGAAGCGTTCATTTTGTACTGGCAAAATTTTAGTCAGCAAAAATTATCCAACACGAAAACATATGATCACAAAACATATGGTTGCATTTTTTGTAAACAAACAAAATTGCATTGCATGCTGCTATAGTTTGGTGGCAAATATTTCTTTGTTTTGTTTCGATTTCACACATTCCTAGGCAAACAGCTGATTTTGAAAGATGTTTTCTCTCTTCCTCTTCTTCTTTCGTTTCGATCGTAACGCAGAATACCTAAGTTCGATTCCAGCGGAGCGGAATGCGGGAACGTAATCGAAATGCAGAATAGGGCTGATTATTGCGGCTTTGCACTTTGTTGACAATTTCGGTTGTATGCGCCGAAAAGGAGAGCAGACTGACGAAAGTTACTCCGGGGATCTTTGGGTTATTCACCGTCGGAATTGATTCGTCATCGACGTGAATACCCAGTTGCAATCTGACCTTCTTTGTCCAAGTGGTAAAAAGCTTTGTTGAGGATTTTGTAGGGATTTTGTAAGCAAGAAAGCTTGGCGAGATAACTGTTTACTTTCAAGCACAAGTCATCAATTCCATTCCCATACGCCATAATCGAGCATAACAGACAATAGTGACTCCCTTTGGCGGTTGATGGAGCTTTGAAATAAAACAATTAAATAATAGCGGGGATAGGACACCAACATGTGGTACTCCCTGTTTAATTTTTCTTGGTTTGCTAGTTTTGTCCCTAAAGATTACTGAAGAATGTCGACCACTTAGATAATTCGCCGATCACCGTTTGAGTCCCTGTGGGAGTGAGGAGGCATTTATCTCTTCTAGTATATAGTAGACAGGTCTAACGCTACTAGAATGGTTCTCTCACAGAGCGGTTTCGGTTAAGGCTACGAGATATCTGGGTGTTTATGTGCTGTTTTTGTGCTGTACACTTTACGGAACCCATGCTGACGCTTCGCTGGGGCCAGGTGGTTTGTGTAGTGCGGAAGTAGAAGACTCCTCTCTCCTTTGTTGGACGGTTTCCACGGTTTAAGCAGTGGGATCACTCTTCCCCATTTTCCAGATGTCTGAAATGATGAGAGTGGCCATAGAAGGGTTGAGGAACTTCGTTAAATAATCCACTACCGCAGGACCCACGTTTTTCAGCATCAACATGCAAATTCCGTCGGGCCCAATGGCTTTGGGAGCTTTCGCCTTCCCGATGGCTACCCCTATCTCACCGCTGGTGAAAACAAGAAGCGCACTTGGTTTTGGTAGTTTGTACAGCCTTCTGGTCATTCGACGTTTGGCTTTATGCGCCGGAGGATGCAGTATGAACTGTCGGCTAAAATAGCCGATAAAATAAAAAGATAATAATAAGATATTTCAACTCTGTCGTCACGCTTCGTCGGGTTGGAGAATGACCTCTCGGTTGACCAAAGCTTGCTCACACCAGAGGCGAAGTGGCAGGTCTTCAGATGCTCTTCCCATTTCTTACGCTTATGTACGTTCACTAGTTGCCGAATCTCCGAGTTGAGATCCCTGATACGGGGATTTCCGGGATCGGCCTGACGAAGGTTGTCACACTCATCGGCTGGGACAGCCGCTTCAAAAGGAAGATTCGGACACAGGTCCGAAATGCATCCTGCTGGAACGAAACGGGCTGCAGTAGCAGTGACAACCCTGCGGTATTTACGCACACCCACCCGAACGTCGGTTGGTTTGGGTAGGGCAGTGAAGGTGCTTTCAGTAACATCCGCGAAGCCTTTCCAGTCAGCTTTGGTGAAGTTGACATAGGTCCGGTGATCCGCGGAACAAAGTCGGTTGGTTTATCAATCGAAATGACTATGGGGAGATGATTTTATGCTAAGGTCAGCATAGGTCGCCATGATATGCTGTTTATCAG